ACTCAGGGGACATGTAGCCACTGAAATGGTATATGATACATGTCAAAATTATTGCATATGATTGTGGTGTAATATAAGTACTCAACAGTGGATTGTGTTTCTGAAACTTACTATGTACCAACCACTCTTCTAGTAGTGTTTCCTTCACTGCTATCTGAGCTGGAAATTTTTGCTAGACCAAAATCTGAAATCTTTGGATTCATTTCGCTATCCAAGAGAATGTTACTTGGTTTAAGATCTCGATGTATGATACGTAACCGGGAGTGCTTATGTAGGTAAAGAAGTCCATGTGCTATGCCTTCCACTATTGCTACAAGTTTGGACCAATCAAGTAAAGCTCTTCTTTTTTCATCTACACATCAGACAAACATTGGTATAACATGAGAAATACGCCATGTTAACTGATCAAAATTTGTGCTACTTGGTTACCTATGTAATGAAATTAGACTCATGGGGTTAACAGAAAAATAAAAGTGGAGTCAATTTGAGTTACTCTGATGCATTGATAAATATTTTGTGAACTCAAATAAGAAATGCATATAGACATACCAAAGATAAAGAAATCCATGCTTTTGTTGGGCAAGTATTCATACACTAATATTTTCTCCTCTCCTTGGGAGCAACATCCAAAGAGCCTAACCAAATTACTGTGTTGTAGTTTGGCTATTAGCTGGACTTCATTTTTAAATTCTATGAAGCCTTGTCCTGAATGTGAAGAAAGTCTTTTAACTGCTATCTCCAATCCATCAGCAAGCTTGCCCTGGTAAAAAATATATATATTCTAAAGTTAGGCACTTCCACTTTGCACTATAAACCTCTTAACTATTGTTATAAATGTGGGCTTCTTTGTTAGCTATCATGTTAGGAAGCTAAAGAAGTTCGAAATAAACATATAAAAAAACACATAGTAATTTACCTTGTATACAACACCAAATCCACCCTGTCCAAGTTTGTTTTCTTCCGAAAAATTATTTGTGGCCTGTAGTAGCTGTTGGAAGTCAAACACCATGAACTCTGAATTTTTGCCTTGCCAAACTAGTCATTCCTCTCCTGCCTAATACCGAGAACGTCTTGATCCTTGTAACCTCATCACTTCACCTACATGATTGAGAATCGGCACAATCCCTCTTTATTGATATATGTTTAATAGTTGGCACAATGACTTCGCCTTACCCTTGTCGTCTTGATAACATATGTCTTGGCTTATTGTTAAGTTGGTGCCCCCAACTACTGCCTTCTTATTTTGTCTTACTTTGTTTGAATTTTCTTGGAACTATTGTAAGGCGGATAAATTTACTTCTTTATATAGTATAAAACAGGGAGCATGTAAAGCCAGTTTTCTGGAATAAAAAATTCATTTACCAACTTAATTATTATGACCTACCTCTTTGTACACCATGGATTACAAAAGCACATTTGAATTATCACACAGTACTTCCCTCAAAAAGATAACAACCATGGACTACGCACGGATGCTGAAAATATTTTGCTTGGTATTTTTCTTGACCTTAATGCCAAGGTCATAACTCTGGCAGACCTACCATCATTGACACAGGTTCATATAGAAAGGTGCCTCCACCAGCCTTCACTTGTCTAAATAGTGGCACCTTGCCAATTCTCTTCCCCTATATAGTCCATCATCTCATCTTCACTTGAGAACGAAAGAAAGCATCATATCTCATTTGCTCACCCTTTACTCTTTTACATCACAACTCTTTTATTTCAATGTGTTCTCGTAGCAATGAATATGCAGTTTTTATGAGAATTGTTAAGAAATAGGTTATAGTACAAATGCATGGGAGACATTTCTCTCACAAAGAAGAAACATGAGAGATGTTCACTACAATCTTGAGATGATGCAAGTACACACATAGAACTAGGAGGCGCGGGGAAAGAAATAAATTTAGAGATTTCTCTTTGTAGACCGAGTAAAACAAAGTTAATGGGCTTCCTGTTGGAAATATGCCCTAGAGGCAATAATAAAATGGTTATTATTGTATTTCCTTGTTCATGATAATCGTCTATTATTCATGCTATAATTATATTGACCGGAAACCGCAATACATGTGTGAATACATAGACCACAACATGTCCCTAGTGAGCCTCTAGTTGATTAGCTTGTTGAT